TTAAAAGCATATCAAAAGACATGCAGATAATTAGTTTCTCACTGTGGAAAAGAAAATAAAACTTGAATTACTAGGCAGTAAGTAAGATGATAGAACTTTAATTAGAAGAGTTACAGTAAAATTAGAGGACAGCTTCTAGGATTCCTGATGGCTGAAGGCTTTCCATTTTCAGGATATGTTGTGGCTGCTAATGAAGACTGGCAGAGTAGGGGCTGCTCGCTCCCCTTTGTGGGTTATAAACACACGAGTGCTGTCAGACAGGTCCCTTTACCTCAAAAGTAGTGAACTGTTGTGCAGAGACTAGCATGTTTCCACAGAAGGGAACCACCTGTAGGAAAAGTGACGCAGAGCTTGCCTCTTCTTTTTAAACAACATCTTTATTGAGATATAATTTACATGCCGTAAATTCATTCCTTTAAAGGGTCTAAGTCAGTGGTTTTTAGTACAACCATCATTACTATCTAATTTTGGAATTTTTTCTTCACTTCCAAAAGAAACCTGGTCCCCTTTAGCAGTCACCCCATCTCCTCCTCCCCAACTAGTGGAAACCACCATTTATTTCTGTCTCTGTGGATTTGCCTCTTCTGGACATTGCATATAAATGAGCCCTCCATATGCGTGTCTGGCTTCTTTCACTGAGTATCGTATTTTCAAAGTTCGCCCACTTTAAAGCATGTATCAACTCTTCATCCCCTTTTATGGCTGAATTATATTCCGCTGTGCGGATGGACCACATTTTGTCTGTCTGTTGATGGACACTTGGGTGTTTACTCATTGGTGGCTGTGAATCGAGCTACTGTCGACACTGGTGCACAAGTGTCTGTCTGAATGCCTGTTTTCAGTCCTTTTGGCACACACACGGCATGGAATTAGCATTCCACACATTTTGTTGTTGTGTGTGTGCTGACTGCCTTTGTGTGCACATCCCCAAGATGTAGATGCTGTCCCGTGCCTCTCCTAAGAAAAGGAGTCGCATCCTCTCCTAACCACAATACAGTTCTCAGTCTCAGCTTCTAGGGGTTCTGTTTCTGTCTGCTGACTCCTCTACCCTCATAGCTCTTTTCTTCTAGTAAGTCCCCCCATCTGGGGTTGATGCTGCAATTAACTGTGTATTGTTACCTCTCCTCGCTGTGAAGTGCTCCTGCTGCTTGTTCTTTAAGACTTTTATTTTTTGGATGGTTGCACTTTTTTTTCTGATGTTTCTCCCCATTAGACTAGGATGTGGAGACATACCCTTCCCAGGAGTCCTGTTCGGGCGGGCCGTGCTCCTGGCGAGTACTTGGTGTGTGGTCACTGTTTCCTGCTTTAAAGCAATTGGGGGGAGGGATAACAAGGGAGGCTCTGCGGAGCCCCTACCCTGCCCAGTGCCTCAGGCTTCCATTAGTAATTCCATTAGCTTAGTCTGCGCAGGCCAGAGGCAATGTCCCCACTCAGCCCTCCCTCACTGGCACCACAAGCAGTCAGTGCTTTGCCATAAGCCAGAATCCTCCCCATTTGTTCATTTATTAATTTATTCATTCTTTCAGTCCTTGTTATGTGTTTTGTTTATTTTAATATTATTTATATCTGTTTACTATTGGAATGGACTCATAGATCCTTAATTTTCAATAGTTTATAATTATTTACTCTTTCTAATTTTCTTGATGCTCAAATTGGCCCAGATTTGGCCAATGAGAACCCTTTAAGTAGGTCCCGTGTCCTGACATGATCCTGTCATTTTCTTGAAACTTTTCTTACCTTCTGGCAGGACACTATGTTCCTAGGCTCATCATGGGCCTTCCTGCCCCAGTGCCAATTGGCTATTTTTCCAAGGAGCCCTGTCTTTCTGGGGTAATAGTATTAGAGACCAAGTTCTGGTTGCTGGCAGGCCCGCAGCTGGTCAGACAGAGCTAGGGAATATATACATCTGTTCACACACATGTACCCTGTGCACATGTATGCTCACTGCATACACATACACACACAGATACACATGTACACACTGCACACATTCTTGCACATATTGTTATTTTAGAACTCTTGGGTTTAAACAGATACTTCCAGTTCCAGCCCATTCCCAGGGACTGGGCGAAGGGTTCGCAACCCTTGCTTGTATCTCTGTCTACTACTGTGAGAACTCAGACTTTGAGAACATGAGCACACTTACTGTTGCTCAGGTCATGGTACACTGAAGTAGTTTGAGAACTGCTTCCCGCGTCCCCCACCCTTCCTCCAAGGTGGCATGTCTGCACAGAGGAATTGAGTGCCTTAAAGCAGCTGAGTGCCTCTCCCCTCACCTAGGGGACTGTGGTCTGGGGAGGGAAGGACAGGCTGTGTAACCCTGATGATCAAGACTTAATTATTAAGCACAAAGAAAATGATAAAATTGTATTTGGTGCTAGCCCCAGTGTTGCCCATGTGCTTATGCCTCTGTACTTTTGAGCTCTGCGTGGGGTTTAAGGAGCATTAGTGCTCAGGAGAGTTGGGTAACTAGGAAACACAAAGCAATCAAACGCCTTGATTTTTATCTCATGGTGTTTCTGCCAAAAATAATTAAATCAGCCTCAGCTCTTATATAAATGCTTTTGAGAAGAGCCTGTGATTGAATGGGGCTGGCTGTGCACAGAGCCTCAGAGAAGACGCTGATCTTGACTGTGTCTCCCAGACAGGAGCTCTGGGGTCTCAAGGTAAAAAGAGACTTCAGAGGCACTGGTCCAACCTCTGGCCCAGTGAGAACCCCGCTGACAAGTCAGGACCTCTGCCCTGTACCCACATGTTCAGCAGCCCCATCCATTGATAGGACATTCAGTTCTATAGATCGGGATGTGGGTATTGAGAAGCTGGAGACAGGAGCTATGATCCAACCCCATTTGACCTGTGCCCACAGCGTGGGCAAATCGAGAAGGGCCCTGTGGTAGAAGCCCAGCAGCAAGCATGTGTGTGAGAGCCAGGCTGACATTTTCAGGCTTTCAAGGTGCTGTCTGTTATGTGCAAGGAGGGAAGGTTTATTCTGAATGGTTTGTTTGGGAACCCCTGGATGGTAGCTCTCTCAGCTGCAGTTTGGGGAGTGACTCTGCCATTCTCGGCAGCCCCCCGCGAGGAATTCTTCAGAGACTGGGGTCCTGTCCTCTATCCATGTATTGGGACTTTGATCAGATGCAATTCCTGCCCTGGCATCCTTGAAGGGATCTCTTTTCTGCCTCCCCTGAACATCCTGTCTCATGTGCTTTGGAAAAGGATTAGGCCCGTTGACCCTGCTTGACCTCTTGATGCCCCTGGTGCCCTGGCTTCATGTGGGTTGTACAGGATTTGCTTTTGTCTGTGAGATACCAGAGGTTGCCCATGCTATAGAGGAAGGAACATGGACTTTGGAGCTCGAGGCAGGCTTAGTTGCTTTCTGGCTGTGTTAAGATTTTGAGCAGTAATGAACTCTTAGGCATGAGTTTCTTTGTCTGAGTAATGATGGATATGCACCTCCTGCGCTGACTGGATGGATCAGAGATGAGGCTGAATTGCCTTATACATTGTCTCTGTTCCACCCACCCCTCCCCTATGGGAGCTAGAAGTTAAACATTTGGGGTCTCTAATCTCAGCATGTTTGGAAAGCATCTCCTGTCACCACTTTTCCAGCTGGGAGACAGTGAAGCATTTGCTGCTCCCCTTGTGCGTAGTTAGAGCTCCATGATGAAACTTCAGTCTGTGCTGACGTTCTGCGATTTGGAATTGCCAACATTGAGGTCAAAGGGGAACTTAGTAGCAAGCACTCATCCATAAGATGTCCCCCATGGGACTTAACAGATTGCACTGCTCTGGCACATCCTGCTGACCTGGTAGGGGCCTCCGCTGGGCAGAGCACTGTCTCTAGAAGCAGTTCTCAGGGGACAGTCGTTTCACTGGGTGCTCAGAGGACATGGATGGAAAAGCATCTCATTTACAAAGCAAGGCACATAAACGTGGCGTTGCTACCCTTCATGGACTTGGCAACTTTTGGGGGTCTGGAGAGATAAAAAAAAGACTTCTATTCAAGCATCTAAATCATACTCCCCCTCATTTCAGGGGGAGGGCAGATAATCTGCAGGATGCCACCACAGGCAAACCTGTTCAGCCACCCATGGGCACTTTAGACACGTCTCTAGTGGTGCGGAACCACCATCCTAGGAAGGCCATTTACCCTTTGAGTTGGGATGTTTATTTACAAAGTGAGTGTTAAGACTGCAGCCATTGGAGATGGTACCTCTTCAGATTCACAGTTTAGGAAATGCAAATATCTACTTGAGATAAATACTCTCTTTCTTGGAGGAGATTTGCACCCATAAAAATCTATAAAAAACTAAAAATGGCTCATATCCCTATTAGAGGACTGTTCCGGCTGCCTAGTTGATGGGGTGGCTACAATTAGATTAAAAATAAATGGTTCCTCTTTATCACCTAAGCATTATCTAACTGTCCTTCCGGAAGCCCTGCCCATGTAAAGACTCTTAAGGCCTTACCCAAGGTAGCCAGATCCTGTTCTCATTGCCCTTTTGGGGAGATGAACCCCACATGCAGAGCCTGTGCTAGAATCAGACAAGGGAACTCCTAGACTGCTGTTCCGTGAGACATCATTGCATATCCTGAAACAGAGTCTTCTGGAAAAGTGAGAGTTTGTGGGGCACTTCAGTAAAACTTGTGTTGGTGCCCAGTGGCTAGGCAGTAGAAGTTGCGGACATCCTAATCATGCCAGGTTGCATCCCATTGACTCGTTCAGGTATTGGCCTCAGACAGTACGAGGCTAGTGGGTGAGTTTTGGACTCTGGGAGGGTGAGTACCTTTTTTTGTGAGGTAGCAGTGAAAGTGACTGCTACTGAGGCCCCCATCCCCACCCTGTTTCTCACTTGCTTAGGGAACTTCTTAGAGCAGTTAGAAGAATCATCACAGAAGTCAATTTTATTGACAGAGGCTGTGTGCCTCCCAGTGTCCAGCTTACCTTTTTTACATTTTAATGAGAACTTTTTACATTGGCATTGCCACTGTTCCCACTATTATTTTATAGAGGCTAACTCTGCAGCCGCACAGTCTTATATTGTGGTGTCCCTGACCCGCACACTTAGGTCTCAACCTCACATGGAGCCAGAGACACCATGAGTGGACAGTGACCAGATAGGCCTCATGGAGAGGAGAGCAGGGCAGATGTCGTTAGAGACAGGTCATCAGCTAACACGGCTGAGGGCACAGGTATAGTCATGGGTGTCACTCTCAGATATTGGCACAGGTGTCACTCACAGGTGTCAGTGGCACGTGTCACTCAGGTGTTGGCATAGGTGTGGTGAGGTGGCTATTCTGGGAGGTGAAGAGTGCTCCGTGTGTGCATGGAAGAAGCTCTGCCTCACCTTCCTCTTTACCATGTGAGTACTTCTTCACTTGTACCAATGAGATAAGCCATAGATGTGGAAAACATGCCACATTCTGTCTCCAGATTTCATTTTCCTCAGGACTGCAGATCCATGTCAGATTCACCTTGAACTTAAATGCCCTCCTCCTTTTTGTATTTGTTGGCCAACATCAGAAGCGGCTGCTGCACCAGTGTGTGCAGAGGAGCGTGAGTGACGCACTGGTCCTGTGTTTTCCCGTCAATCACGTGATGCCGCTGGGAGCAGGTGGAGAGTTGCAGTCTGTGGAAATGGTGCACAATCATATGGCTCATGGTGAGGGTTCCCTGGAGCCCAGGTGTGGTCAAGGCTGCGGGCTCCCCAAACTTGGGTGTGGTTGTAGCTGAGGGTTCCCTGGAGCCAGGTATGGGCAAGGATGAGGGCTCCCCAGAACTGGGTGTGGTTGCAGCTGAGGGTTCCCCGGAGCCAGGTGTGGTCACAGCTGAAGGTTCTCTAGAGCCAGGTGTGGTTGCAGCTGAGGCACAGTGTCCATGGTGGTGATCCCAGCAAGACTTAGGACGTAACATGGCCGATTCTTTCTCCTACCAGCCTGGGGTGCGGTCCTGTGAGGAACATGATCTTAGCTCTCTGCTGGTGCTGCCCCGGTGGTCTCTACACTGCACTGCTGAACCTCACGTCAGATGGTTCTGTGCTGTCTGGAATGACAGCCTTTAGGGCAGCGTGGCAAAAGCGGTTCAGAGCTGACATGTTTGTCTTCTGCTCAATGTACAACCTCAGTTTGTCCCTGAAGGTCTCCCCAAGGAAGCTGTAGATAAGGGGGTTCAGACAGCTGTTGGAGAAAGCTGCAAGGTTGACAATGTGGCCGGTTAAGGGGTACGCATGGCGGAAAGATTGTTTGCAGGGTGCGGCCCCCGGCTGTGTGCGCTGGAGGAGATGGACACTGATGAAGATATTCTCGGGCAGCCAGCAGATGAAGAAGACAAGGACCACGGCAAAGATCATTCTCAGGGCCTTCTGCCTCCGGGGACGTAAGCCTCGGTGCCTGTGGGCTTTGACAAGAACCCGGATGATGAGTGAATAACAGAGGCCAATGATGGCGAAGGGGATGATGAAGCCCAAAGTAACTTCCAGCCACTGTATCTCCTTGACGTCAGCGAAGCAGAAGCAAACCTCTTCGGTGTGCTGCAGGTGCACAGCCGTGAAGGGCACGAGGGTGGCAGAGACAGAGGCCATCCAGATGAGGCCGCAACTTAGCCTGGCATGGTGTTTTGTGCGGAATAGGCCAGAGCGCATGGCCCTGGCCAAAGCAATGTACCGGTCAAAGCTCATCCATGTGAGGAAGAAGATGCTGCTGTACATGTTAATCTGAAGGAAGAGGGACATGAAGGTGCACAGAACAGTGATGTCATAGTACTGCTCGTCCAGGTTGAACACCTCAATGAGGGAGTCTGCCACCAAGATGAGGTCCGCCGCCGCCAGGTTGATGAAGTAGAGGTCAGGGATGGTCATCTTCTCTCGGAAGCTGATGTTTACCACCAGGATCAAAATGTTACCCACAAAGCCAATGGGGAAGAGGAAGATAGTATAGAGGCACGAGAGGAACAGGCCAATCACATACTGCTGGTGCTCAGAGAGGTCGCCTGAGTGGTTGGTCAGGATGGTGCCCGCCAGCACGTGTGATAGGTTGAACACCGGGAAGGTGCTGTTCTGGGCCACAGACTGTGCGGCGCCCGGGGACAGGGACGGCTCCATGCCAGACACAGGCTTGCAGAGCCACCCACGTCTCCACTGTGTGCCACTTTCAGGATTTGCCGAAAGGTTCACAGAAGTCTGTTTTAAGCAGTAAATCCATCTTTAGAAAGAAAGGCGACTGTCTTTGAAGTGAGCCAGACATCTGTGGAAGCAGAGCTGTCAGGAGCAGCACTCAAGGCAGGGCAGCCCCCGTGGGTTTGCAGAAAATTGAGCAAATGGTCAAGATACGCTTCTGCTGGTCTCGTGGGTATTGGCTGCTGCTCTTGGCACCCGATGCTGCCACACTGCCCAGCACCTGATGTTGCAGTGCCACCTGGGCACTTGATGCCGCTGCACGCCTTGTCTCTGATGTTGCTACACACTTGGGCACCTGGGAGACAAACACGGGACATTTAAGTCTTGTCTGGAAGCCTCAGCTGCTGCAACGCCAGATGCCTCAGCCCAGTCTCTCTGGTCACAGCTTGGCACAAGTATATAGGGGGAAGGCCAGAACTGAATTTTGTCCCCTGGAGAGATGTTGTCCCCGAGTTGAAGGAGAAATATTGTTTTCTCCCAAGGGCTCCCAGAGCTGCTTGGTTTTGTTGGAGGCCGGACATTGAGTCATGCTCATATGCAGGGACGCCTTTTTTTCCCCCCCTTTAGTCAAATAGCAGGCTAATGAAGTAACGGGGATCTTGGGCATGGAAAGCTTAGGAAAACTACTATTTGTCAGGAGAGGAAATCAAATTTATTTCAGCAGCTGTTGAACAGAGAAGTAAGATGGGAAGGGAAAAACCCAACTTTTAGGGAAGATAGTGCATCCAGACCCTTTGTGGAAGCAGGATCTCTTTTCTTACAATAAAATAGATAAATGAAGTCTAACTTTTATGCTACCCCTACTCGGACTATGTTTGGGTGCCGAAAATGAAACTTTTTCCATATTCTAAGATGAAAACGAGTAAATAAGGAATATAAGTGTCATGTGGTTGTTTTAGGAACTAATATGAAAGAGTTGTTTTGACAAATTATTATAAAACCTAAAATATTTTAGTGATACTCATTGAAACCCAGAAACTTGAAGGGGCGGTGTGTGTGGCTTGTCCATGTGGTATGGCTCATCTGCTGTGCTTTAGGCAGGGATCTCTGTCCCTGGCTGTTTCACCTCATGCCCTAGTCATTCCCAGTGGGAACATCCTTGCGGGGGGGAAGGTGCGCCTGGCATGGAATGGGTGGGGCCAGGGTGCTGCTCACCATCCTACAGTGCCCAGGACAGCCCCATGCGAGCAGTGTGAGGAGGCTAGAGAACACGGACTTGTCACATAAATATGGATTTGAGAGTTTTCATTTTACCCTGTGAGGTTATTCGGAATCTTTTTGAAGTGTTGCCAAACCAGACTAGGCATTTATTAACCTGTTGCTTGAAAATCCCACTTTAAAACTAAAACGAAAATAGAAATCATTGTCTTAGTGTCATTATTTAAACACAATTCAATTGCCCTTGCTTTGTTAGGATTGATAAATTTGATTTTATTAGCCTTTTTGGGTAGTCTTTAGTAGATAATCCCAATTTGTACCACATATTAAGTTATTGTTTTCAGATTCTATCTTTCAGGTATAAAGCTCTGTTTCATTTCTTTGTAAAAACTGCTCAGGGACCTCCCTGGTGGCGCAGGCGGTTGAGCGCAGCGCTGTGAAGCTGTCTGCACCTTCTGCAGTGCCAGTTTGATCCCCGCCGGCCATGGAGATACCCATGGTGAGCAGACCTCTCCTGTCTCACCCGCTGCTCCCCTCAGCAGTGTATTTGGGTCAGTCTGCCTGTTCTGTTCCCCACTCTGTCTCTGGTGAATCCTCTTACCCTCCTGCACATCTGGCTTGTACCCCGGTTCTTGTATAAATAAATCTTAAAAAAAAAAAAAGGCTGCTCAGACCATTGGCTTTGCTCTTTAAATGTGGAAATTTTGCAAGGTGTTAGGCTGCATATTTGGAGGAAAACAAAAGGATGAGCAGAGTTGTCCATTTACATGTGTTCTCTTACCTACGTTTGTTAAGGGGACCTGGGGGGAATTTTACTTTCACTTCTATCTCACATAAGTGGAGTCTTTCAATCCTTTACAAATACTTTTTTTTCCCTGACAAATACTTTTATTTTTGTAATGGTCTAACAAAAAGATCTGAAACCCTAATATTACCTTCACTGCGGATGCAGTATCCTCATGAAAGCTGGCCGTGAATTTATAAATATGGAGGTATTAAACAGCTTAATGTCATTTTGTTTCAAATTTCACTGCTTGTCCAGATCTAGAAAAGTAAGACCACATTTTTGGCAGCTCTATTGGGTATGTATCCTATAGAAGAATATTAATTCACCTATTATGTTTGCATTTGCATTGAGAAGGTTAAGCACTGTGATGTAAGATAGTGAGGAAGTATTTTCTTGACGTGAAGCATCACCTCACTTGAACAAATATGATAGAATACTGGATAGTATTTTTTTGACATGTGTTATAAAAAGACCCTTTGTGTAAAACCTCCCTTACTGTAGCCACCTTGAGACTATTAGAGCAAAGTTTGGGTTTTTCTGGAGAGTGGTTGGTGCCTGGCGCTTTTATAGAAACCAGAGGTGCCGTGTTTATGCACATCTGTATGCAGTGAACTAGCACACTGCCCCTTAGGCAAGACCACTGGGCTGTTCCCCTGGCCCATCTCCACTGGGGCATTGACCGAACACAGAACCAGGTCCCATGACTGAGACTTACCTGTGCTGCAGACGCCACCGACTTGGTGTCTCTCGTCCCTGGGAGGTCTCCTTGAGGTCTCCCTGGCCAGCTGAGGGGTTTGTGCTCACCGCAGACTGGAGGGGCAGTTGGAACTTTCCCAAAGGTGGTGGGGACTCTGGACTTGAGGGGTGGAACTCCACCTGTCCGGGAAGCCTGGAGCTCTTGTGGAAACAGGAGTCTGGTGGGAAGGCTGCCCCGAGAGAGCCCCTGTCATTGTCGCTGAGTTGCTGACAGCCAAGGCAAGGCGCCCAGCCAGCAGCAGCCAGCAGGCTTTATAGGCCTGGACTGCACTGGACAGCCTCCTTAGAAGGCTTGCATTAACCATTTTTTTGCTGGCCTTTTTTTCTCCCACCCTTTGGCATTGAACTTGGTACCACTGAATGTTTTTATGGAAGTTTCCAGTTTAACTGCTTTTCTTCACCCATGGATACAAATTTAAGTTTCAAGGGATTGTAATAAGTCTTGTTTATCTTTTAGATAATAACTGTCATCGTTTGTTGAAACTTAAATATTCTTGCCCTTTTTATACCTGACTGGCTTTAAAGCTAAACACTTAGTATCCTAAATTGAGAAAATGGCATGAGGATTGCACAGAGAATTGAACATGGCAATTTCAAAGACATTTGCAGAAAGAAATTGAACCCAACTAATAGCCGATATTTTGAGTAAGTAAATTAGGAATCAAAGAAAGTAGTTTTTCTGCTCCCCATGATAGCCATGCCCAGGTTCCCCCATTGTTGTGCTCCTGAAACCACCTGAGTGCACCTGTGCTACAGGTGTTGGTGACAACTGAAGACCCCTCCTCTCAGCCACCTCCTCCCAGCTGTATCTGAGTGCCTGCCCTGTGTGGTCAGATGAACTTGTCCTTCTGTCTGGCTGCAGGGCCACCTCTGAGCACCACCACCACCCCCACCCTGTGCTGGTGGTAGACTTTAACAGTCGGTTTGAAGAAAGACTGACGAGTTGTCGTGGGCCAGGAGCGCCCCCAAGGGTGCAGCTTAGGTCTAGAAGACCCGCATGGCCTGTGGTGCCTAGAGATGTGGTTTCCGTCATCAACATGACTTTTTAATTGATTTCATTTCTTCTTGGAGTCTTTTTACCTTTCTGCTTTTTTTTGAAGCTGTGGGATTGAACCCCAAGTGATGTTTTGTATTACTACATCTGAATAAAGCACATTGCTGCAGGGTTTGATCACAAGGTCACCCCCGCATGCTCCTGGAGGAGACACATTGATGACAAGTGTGACTAGGCCAAGGTCTGGTGTGACAAGGGCTGTGCCAGATGAGGAGCCTACCTCGCGGATAATAGCCCATGTCACCAGCGTGAATGTTGGTCAGCTTTCTGTTTGTTCCGAATGTTGCAAATGAACATCCAGGATTTCTGGAAGGTCATTTAATGATAAAGCTTCAGATATGTGTTTTGGGAGATGGACACATACTTTTCAACAGAGTACTGTCTTGAGCATTGTATGAAAAATATCTTCCAGCTCTAGAATCCAGCCATGATCTAATATTTTAGCCTTTTAAAACTTTGAGTGCCATGATAACATAAAAGAAGCTGTTTTGATTTTAGACATTTTCTTTGCCAACCTTGAACTCAAGATGATTTCAACAGTAAAAATGCCTGAGACACCATTTTGAAAGAAATGAGTCATGAGAAAGTACAACTTCCTCTTGAGTTAAATAAATAAATAAAGTAAAAATCCAAGCCTTGAAATAGCCGAGACGTATCACTTAAAAATAGCTGCTCCCCACTTGGCCATTCCCCACGGTGCATCCCCACCACTGCCAAGCTGAGAAGCTGAGGCTGGGAGCCATGGACATAGGTGACACCTGTGCATTTTCTGCAGAGTTCACTTCTCGGTGCTTGGTTCTATGGCTGCAAGTGTGGTTTTGTGTCAAAGATTTGAAATTGAAACCAAATTGGGGTTACAAGGTCACAGGCCATAACTGTCAGAGTGCTGGCTGGTTCAGTGATGTGTCAACCCTCACATAGACTGTCAGAACTGCAGTCCACTGAAGCCCATTGACTTTGCGGGGAGGGACTGAAAAGGGCTAAAGACCTCTGTGCATTTTAAACCCAACCTTTAGTGCTCATCCGGTGGCCCTGTGCTGCACTGGCTCTCAGTGGCCCTGGCATAGGGGCTACTCTCCTACTTCATTGATGGGAAAAATGACCTCTTGCGAATGCAGAGGTCTTGTGAATGCAGTCCAGCATGGAGGATGCCCCACAGACTGAGTCCTGCTGAAAGCCCCTACTCCTGGCCTGCTGCTTCCCTGGCTCCCTCATTTGCCGGGAAGTTGAACTTCCCCATTTTCTCCCTGTCTCCTTTTCCTCACTGTTACCCCAATTCTCTTCGGTGGCATGGATTGTCCTGTCACTGTCCACGAGTAACAGACCTTATGTGGGTGTCATCTCTTGGTCCCCCTCACCTCTCCTCAGATAAGATGCGGAGCCAGGATGGGAAGGAGCCTCGTCTACACAGAGCCAGGTTCCATAGTTGATTGCCCTCATGTCTCTTCCGCCTTTCTGAACCTCAGTGCTCATTGTAAAGGGAGTGCATGTATGGGACCATTGTGCTTATGAAGCTACGTGGTGTGTGTGGAGTGTCTGGCACATGGGGTATGCTGTAGTCAAGTGCTCTACCCCTGAGCTGTGCCCCCACTTTAGGTGTTCTGTGGAATTCCAAATACCCTATCTCTCCACTTTTGTGGGAGGTTTTCTCTTCCCACTGCCTCCAGGGCTGTGGAATGAGGCATCCCCTGCCTGAGACAATCCCAGTAGCTGGTGCTTCTCTTTTTGTCAGGCACATCCAGGAAGAGAGCCGGCTGACAGAAGTATGTGTGGGGTTGACTATGGGTGAGGCCTCAGGTCACATGAGTGAGAAGTTTTGAACCAATCCATTCTGGTGAGCACTGCTGCTGAGTGGTGGTCATGGACGGACAAAGGGATGGTGCTCCTGTACCACTCTTGTGAAGGTGGCACCTTGATTTTCTCTAATGACCCGAAATTTGGGGAGAAGCAGAGCATTCCTTTCAAACTGGAGGACGTTGTTTATGGACAGGCACAAAGCACCATCACTGTTTAATCCTCCCTGTAACCCTGCCTGTGAAGGCAAGCACCCACCTTTTATAAAGAACAGCCAAAGACATGGGGTGCTGCACACAGTCAGATGGGAAGCAGGATGTGAACTCCGACAGTGTGTGTGTGTGCACACATGTGTATACAGATGAACAGAAGTGTTGCTGTTTCTGGGGCTCTTCTGCGGTCCTTTTGTCTGGTCTTTTCCATGATGGGAAGTGATTGGAAGTGTATGGATGTTACCATCCAGGTCGGCCTCCAGCGTGGGATACATGCTCACACCCACTTGCCCAGGGTCTTTTAGGATACTCAGAAGGATAGGTGTCACTTTGGACATGTGGGCTTTTTTTGGTTCTTGCAGGGAGCTTTCTGGACATTCTCTAAAGTCCAGACAATGAGGTGCTGATGATACACCAATGTGAGCCAAATGGTGGTACACAGGGTTTTGCCCCAAAGCAGGGAATTTATGGTGGAATATTTAGAAGACTTGGGTGTTTGTCCAGTCCCACTTTAAGAATGATCTCCAGACTTTCCTAGGGAAAGGCTTGGATGCCCAGTTCATCTTCCCAGCTAGTTCTGACTTGTCTTTTCAAACTGAGGATACATATAGACTTTCTTTAAGATTAAGGCATCTACCTGCTGCTAGAAAACTGAAACCCTACATTTCCTTAGTTCTCTGTTGGCTGTAGATCTCTCCTGGTTTTGTCTTGGAAGCTCCTGACCCCAGTGCATCCAGTCTGTTGCAGAACGAAGGGCAGAGCAGAGTCAGGGGTGTGTCTCTACCAGCCTGTCCAGTGTGATTGCTGGGGCAGCTTTTCTCAGCCCCACCAGTCAGACCAGAGCTGCATTCCTGGTTCACATGTTGACACTCGGAGGATCCTACTGCTTAAAAGAAAACGCTTTCAAACCACCCATTTACATTCTTGTGGTTGAGTTTCTAAAATTATTCCTTTAGCAGAAATATGTTGAAACTCAGTAGAATAGAATTCTCTGGCTCCTCTTGTATATTTGCTCTTGCAGACCTAGACTCATCCATTCCTCCAAGGAGCCCAGACCACATGTGAACTTTCAATCACCTCACTGGTCTGAACTAACCAATCATGGCATCTGTTACTGTGTGTTTATAAATTAATTTAGGTCCTTGCACTCCTGGCTGTGAATGAGTAATGCAGGGGAGCTGTGCTCCTGCCAGAGACCATTACGAACCGGGTAAAATACGGGAAACGACTGTTTTCAGATGTTGGGGTGATCAGCAGTGCAGAACTCCAACACCTGAGAGAAGACCCTGCGCTCACCTGGCTCCTGTCTGGGGGCAGATGGGGCCACAGCACAAGGAGGGAGCCCAAGCAGGGCAGAGTGATGCCGCCAGAGTGATGCCACTTGACAGATGCTGGTTTCTGGGAGCGGAGGGTGCTGGAATTGGGGGTGCAGCGCTGAAGAGGACGGAGCCACATGGAGATATGCCTCCTGGTCTGGATAATGGTGCCCTGGAGATCTTAGTGCATCTACACATGTTGCCAAAAATTCTAGACTAACTGAGGACAACTGCTGTGAATTGTCTGCTGACAATGCCGGGAGCTCAGGAGGCTGGCGGTGTTCTGATTCTCCCCAGCCAAACTTCAGCAGCTTCTTTGGACATTTGTGACAATGATGGAGACCCTAGAAAGTGTACCCCTGAGTATTTACTGCCCTGAACACTGACTAACAAAGCTGAAAGTATCTCAAAAGAATCCTGCTGGTCTGCACGTAAAAATTCCTCCCAAAGTCAGCTTCAGTACTCTTTAGAATAAACAACACAACAGAATTAAACTCTCATCAAGGAAAATCTACAAAGTCCAGCAGCTAATAAAAATGACTGTATTGTGCAAGGAACAGCTTTACCTTGTTGGCCTGATGCTGTTTATCTTGCAGATCTTTCCAGGTAGAAGGGAACATGCTTCCTAATTCTCCCAGCTCGTCTGTCCTGTGTGCTCCCTGACAGGCCCTGTGGGTGCGCTGTCAGTCGATCTCTTGCACATACTCCACAATAAAGGCTTTAAGAATATGGGCAAATGAAGAAGAAATAGAAGGGGAGTTCTTGGGAAGGCATTTATCATTTTAATGGCATATTACTAAGCTACTTAAATGTATAAGATAAAAATCTTCTTTCTTCCAAAGAAATCATGGAGATATACAAACACTGAAAAGATAAACTCATAAAAGACATGCTTTTTGTTTAGTTTGCAGATTAACATTAAAATAGTCATTAAAACTGACAATTCAGACAACAGAATATTATTCAACACTAAAAAGAAATGAACTATCAAACTGTGAAAAGACTTGTATTACTAAGTGAAAAAAGCTAATCTGAAGAAGCTACACACTGTATGATTCCAGCTTTAGGACATTATAGGGGAGGTAACACTATCAAGCCAGTAAACAAGATCGGTGGTTGGAAGGAGGGAGGGAAGGAGGGGAGTGAGTGAGTGGTGCCCTGAGATTTTTAGGGCAGTCACACTACTCTGTATAATACTGTGTTGATGGATACATGTCATTATCCATTTGTCCAGATCCGCAGACTGCACAACACCGAGAGTGACTGTAAACTGTGGACTCTGAGTGACAGTGACATGTCGGTGTAGGCTCATCGCTTCTAACAAACATCCCACGATGGTGGGGATGTTAATGATGAGGGAGGCTAGGTGGGCATGGGCAGGGAACATCAGAGAAACCTGTGTCATCTGCTGAATTTTGTTGTGAATCTAAAACTGCCCTAAACAGGTAAATTTTTAAATTCAAAAATAAATGAAGCTGTCAAAGGTATAGCTTTCTGAAAGGCAGAGATATCTTTCCTTTGCATGTCTTTTTTCTCTATTCATCCAAGGAAATGTCAATAATAATTCAGCAAGGATGATGAGTGTAAATTTTGGAATAAGATTAATTACTATGTGTTGTGTTTTACAATTTTTTACAAATTTTTTTACTAATTTATATTTCACAAATATTTTCTGCAAATATTGTCAAAAAGAATAGATAGATAGGGCTTTTCACTGACATGCCCAGAGCCTCTGGAGAGCAGGTCCTAGGAGAGCAGCGCGTGCTATGATAGACTTAAGTCAGTATTTAGCGCATGTACGCATGTGAGTCTCAGACCTGCAATAACGGTGACAAATTTTAAAAAGACAAAACAAATCTTCTTAGCAAGATTTCTGTCACACCAAACTCCTTGTAGTCTTGAGGGTTTACCAACTATGACCATTTGGGACCATATTATAACATGGTCATAGGGTTATTTAAATGTCTTTATCTTCAAGAGTCCCTCTTTTTCTTAGTTGGGGTAGATGCCAACCAGCAGACAGACAAAGCCTAGAATTCCCTCATGGATGTGGATAGGGAATCGGGGCACGTTCTGTCAAAGCCAGGACCATGTCTAGCCAGCGCTGTTCCTACAGTGACCATATCCTTGACTTGCACGTTTTCCAGCAGGTGTAGATATGGGTTTGGGCCAAAATATTATTGTGCTTTGGCATAAATTGAGTTGAATGGCAGAAAGCTGGTTTTTAATAAGCACCTTGCAAACAATCACATAGCCCATTGGTTCTCACCAAGCAGACTTATGTGTTGGCAAACAGAGAGTGTTCCCTGACTGCCCAGGAGACTCCCACTCACTGTCAGGCTTGTCTCTGCAGGCAGGGGCTCCCATTCAACTCAAAGAAATGCTGTTGCCAGCCTCTCCTCTCCTGCACATTTGGGTGAGGCATTCTGGAATGTTCCGAAGGGCAAGCCTACAAGGTGTATGGAGGAGAAGGATGGCGAGAGAATTCATACAGCTCTCTCCAAACAGGACTATCTCTGCTAGGTTCATGAGCAGCTCATCACGCGGCGAGCCCAGGTCCCTCTGCAGCTTCAGCCTGGCCCGCTGTAGCAGTATGACGTTGTAGAAGAGCCGGCAGGCAAATGTGGTCAGGGCCACAGCCAGAACTACCAGATGAGCAGAGGCTGTATTCCTCTGGGGGGAAGTTGTCCGCCAGGCCAGCCTCATGACCAAGAGGATGAAGAAGGCCAGCTCCAGGACCAGGGAAAATCCGAAGCCCAGGCTAAACTTCACTATTTCATACTCTGGCCAGGCAATCAGGAGGTCTAGCTGGCACTGAGTAGTACTGTGCAGCTCCTTGGATATGCCCAGCAGGGCCACCACTGCCAGGGAGCTACAAAGGGCACAGCCCCAGATGGCCACCAGGCCTGCCGCAGGCCTTTGTACCCCCTTTGTGGCCATGCAGAGACAAAATGGGGAGCCTTGCAGCAGGAACACAAAGAGCATCGCCACCTGCACGTACTGAGTATTGAAGTAGCAGAGGTTGAAAAGAAAGGAGAGGACTGCGCAGCTCAGTTTGGTTGTGGCCAGGTAGTGTGGCCGGCTGACAATGGTGAGAGAGAGAAATGTCATCAACACGTTGGTGACAGTGAGGTCTAGGAGGAATGCATCCAAGGCCCCCAGCCTGGCACGGCTTCGGATGAAGGTGGTCAAGTTGAATAGTCCGGTCACCAAGCTCACTGGGGCACACAGAGCCATGTAGACGTGCATGCACCGGGCAATGATGCTCTGTGACGCTATGACATCCTCCACGGCCGTGGACACGTCGTTGGGGTATTGAATCCAGGACATGTTGTGAGAGGTCATCCTGGGCAGCGTCTGGTCTGGAAAAGAAACACATCCTCTGTGCTTACTGGGTCCCTTGTTGGGGGAACCAGCTCTTGCCAAAGGAATGAGGGCAGTGACTATGACCTTTGCCCCAGGTTTGGGAAGCACCTTTTCCCAGGGCCCAAGCCTATAAGTTGGGGCCACTCTGGGACTTTATAAAAGGGGAGGTTTCTAGGCTCAACCTTGATTCCCTGAGGGCAGGTAGTTATGGGAATTGATGTGGTCAACCAGATTCACCAAGAGGAGATTGTGGGACAACTGAGTGGGGTCCCACTGGAGTTTTGAGATTATTTTGCAGGGGTATAGAGGCGAGGGTTGATAAGGCCTTCCCACCCACCTCCTGGACATTCCACCTCTCCTCTTACTCCACACCACACACCACTTGAATCTTATCCCTCATAAAGGAAAACACATTCTGGGAGTGTAGTCATATCTACATGTACATGTGTGTACTGCACGCACCGGTCTTCCCACAGAGGTCAGTGGAAGAGTTCCGGGGAGCCAGTTCTAGGATCCCAAGTCTGAGCCCATTCAGTGCATCCTGCTTATTTCTCTGGGAGTCTCTACCCTCCCAGAGTGAGCTGCCTGGAATCTGCAGGCCCAGTTCCTTTTGCAAGTGCCATTGACTTTGCACCCAGAGAGTCTGACCAATGCTGTCCTATAGGAGGGTCTCTGAGGCCACGAACATACCTGCTGGCCCCAAGGACCCAGGCCTGAAACCGCTGCCCTCCCCAAGGTGCTTGATCACAGCTGAGGTGTGAATTCCTAAAGTTGGGGCTTTAAATACAGGGTGACAGATTTCCCATCTTTTGTCACAAAAATAATTTGTTTCCAAAAGACTGTCCTCTCCCCCATAAACCTTAACTAAGAAGCACTTCAAGCTGAGCGATAGCATTACTATTTTTTTTAAGAGGCATGTATTTTTATTTATTTATGATTTATTTATTTGTTTGTTTGTTTGTTTTGTTTATACATGCACTGGGTACAGTCAGAAGCGCAGGAGGGTGAGAGAATTCACCAGAGCCAGAGGGGGGAACAGAGCAGGCAGAAGGACCGAAGTACACTGCTGAGGGGAGCAGCGGGCGGCAGGAGAGGTCTGCGCGTCATGCAGGACCCTGCTCCGGTGGCCGGGGAGCAGCCTGGGATCGAACCGGAGCCGCAGAAGCCGCGGGCAGCTTCGCAACCCAGCGCTCAACCACTGCGCCACCGGGGAAGCCCTAGCATTACTATTTATTCAAAGGAAATTGAAGATCATATTGGGGACATCATTTTAATAAGAATGTTCCAAGGTGGGCCTGCTGCAAGATAGTTTTTGTTTTCTCCTTCGGGTAGAGATTCTCCCTTGTTCTCACAGGCATGCACACACACACAAGCCCTAGATACTGGCCAGGCTGGCAGTCACATGGCATGAACACAGATTGCAGACACATAATTCAGAAATAGAGAGCAAAAGTGAATGCCCTTTCTTCCAGACATAAAATGAGTGAAATAGTTGTCTGTGTATCCCCTGAGACTTTGCACTTGCCAACTGTTTTCTTTACATACATGGATACATACATGCATGCATACAAACACACACACAAATTTGTCATTGATTTCTCACTTACATATCCTCTACTGCACTGGGATGCTCCTTTCTCCTCAGTCTGACAGCTGTGTGATATGACGTCTCCTGATGTTACTTCTTTTTTTTTTTTTAAGATTTATTTTATTTATTTATACAAGAACCGGGGTACAGGCCAGATTCGCGGGAGGGTGAGAGGATTCACCAGAGACAGAGCGAGGAACAGAACAGGCAGAAGGACCGAAGCACACTGCTGAGGGGAGCAGCGAGCGGCAGGAGAGGTCTGTGCGCCATGCAGGACCCTCCTCCGGTGGCCGGGGAGCAGCAGGGGATGGAACCGGCGCTGCAGAGGCTGCGGGCAGCTTCACAACCCAGCGCTCAACCGCTGCGCCACCAGGGAGGCCCTATTATTACTAGTGTTTTGAACAATCAGGGTTTAGTTAGAGTCACCCAGTATTTACCACTTCCGTTGCTTTTTTTTATTATTATTTTATATATTATTTACATCATTTTTCATTTTTGCACAATGTGTGCATTTTCATCTTGGTTATAGTCCCCATACAATTCCACTCCCCTTGTTTTGATCCTACTCCCTTCTCCCCACCTCACCCCCCGCCCTGTAGTGTGTCTCTGGTTTATAGTTGCTTGTTGATAAGCAAAAATCAAAATCAACAAGCATTTATAAATCCTTCGCTTTTTTATTCTTTTGTGCAATTCTGAGTTTCTAGAATAATCTTCTGCCTTCTGCCTTATGTGCACTCTTAGAATTCTTTTTAATGAAAATCCTTTATATGTGCTGGTGGTGATGACTTAACGTTTGCTTGTCCATAGGTGTGACAGCCTCTTTGTTGGGACTAGAATTCTAGGATGGCTGTTTCTTCATCCCCCTCAGGATGATCAGACTTCTTGAACCTGTGTCTTAATGGCTTTCCTCAGTTATAGGAAAACCGAGCCTTGATGCCTTATTTAAAGGCTGTCCTTGCCTCTTTCCCTCTCCTTCCTTTTAGGATGTGATCAAGTGTGCTGTTGAACTTCCACATGACATGTTTGCCATGTCACCTTTTTTCTCTTTAGCTGTGCCTAATCAGCTCCTAAAGCCATCCCCTTTGTTTTTAAAATTAATTTCTGTGTTTCTTATTTCTAGCCATTCTGGTCTTTTCAAAATCTGGTGCCGTTTTTGTGGATTCCTATTTCTTGCAGATAGCTTCAAGCTTACCTTGTCATTTCTTCAAAGAGGGTGTAATTGTTTATAATCTGGTGATTTCTAGAGTCCAGTTTTCTTGTGTCTCTGGTTATCTTTGAGCTGCATATTGGGATTGTACTTGAAAATGTATATTTGGGGATAATTTCAGGCTCACAATGGGTTCCTGGAGGCTTCTCCATGCGAAGTGCCAAGGTCCTGAACGATGCAGACTCTGGGAACCATGGCTCTTGATGCCCCACTTCCCATCATCCCTCTGTGTGCCCACATCCCAATGTGGGCGATTGATGGACAGATGGATTGACTGAAATACACCGCTGAGGGGAGCAGCAGGCGAGTCAGGAGAGGTCTGCTGTGCCATGTGGGTCACCTCCCTGGCCGAGGATCGAACTCGTGCTGCAGTGGCTGTGAATAGCTTCATAGTGCTGCATCTTAACCCATTGTGCCACCAGGGAGGCCTATAATTCACCTCATTTTAATGAATGCAAGTTACTTGAGGCCAGGCTTCGGGAACTAGCAGACATGGATGCACCATGTCTATGTGGGCAAACACACGTCTGCCGGGATGTCCTGGCTTTATAGGGATGCATAAATGACATTCTGCCCTGCGCTAGCTCTGCAGACCTGCAAATAGAGGTCTCTACCTGCTGATAGAGACCCCTCCCACTTCAGGTGTTTGCCTGGTACTCTTGGTCTGAGAGACACTCTATGAATTGTGATGTTTTCCATCCACTGGTACCTAAGATGATGGGAAACTCCCAGGACACTCGGTGTCAACAAAATTGAGAAGTGTGACCAGACCAAGAAGAAGTGATTTGGAACATTTGTTCAATTAAGCAAATTGGACAGAAGATCTTGTGAGTATTGACCGTGCTCAGGAAATGGCCATAGACTGTCCAGGGCCCACTTCCTGCAGCTAGCCAGTGCTTCAGGCACTTCCTGGACACAGTGTCCTTGCTGGTGGCATGACCGCTCTGTTATGTGGGTTGTTGGCCAGGTCCCTGATCATGCAGCCAGGTGGAGGGGGGTCACGTGTCTGAACTTGGTTCTGTGAGCACAGCCTGGACCCCTCTGACTGAGAGAAGAGGCCGTGGCCTGCTTCTTGCCTTATTGTCTGTTTATAATCAGAGACCTCAGGTTGGAGGGAGCTCAGTTTTGCTGTGCTTTTCTTTCCTTGTGGCATGAACTGTGGCATGCATGAGCCTGTGGCATCTCTTGTGGGCCCACAGACAGGAGGTGGTGTTCTAACGCGCTCACTCATTAGTCGTGGGTGGCCGTGAAGTCTCTACTCTCAGCTCCCCACATGTGCTGGGCACTAGAACAACCCCTTCTAGGCTGGGGAGTGCTAGAGGAGGGGAGGGCCCAGCAGTGCTCCTCCCTGCCACGCTCCAGCACAGCCAGCGGTTCTGCTATGCTAAACCCCACTCTAATCTCCTGTATTCACCTGAGGATATGGCTCCCCTCCTTTTGCTACCTTGTTTCAGCCAAGTGTAGAATTCATAGGCTTAAATACTATGCAAGCGAGACAGCTTTCCCTCCTCCACCTTCCTCACCCTTCAGCAACGGGCAGAGACACCTGATGTTCTCTTGAATTCCTGGTCTTGGTGACCCTGTCTGGTGAAGAGTTGGTCCTGTGCAGATCAGAAGAACTCCAAGCCCTTCTCCCAGCGGTATTTCCTGGTCCACACCCCTTGATGCTTCAGGGTCTGTCACACAGGGCTCCACTCACCCCAGCCCTCAGTGGTGTGTACCCTGCTCCCTGACTCACAACGAGGCCGAGCCCTTCCTGGGAGCAGATGCCACACCTGGCTGGGCTCGCTGTCCACGTCGTCTGCTGTGCCAGGCCACCTCTCTCCTCACAGAGCTTGTGGGGTTTTTAATTGAGAAGATAATACAATAAAACATGAAAGATGTTTCCTTATGAAATTGCTCGTAGTTCCAACTTTCCCATCCAGTCTCCTTCCCCCTCACTGCAGTCAGGACCTTGACTGACAAATTGTTACCACTTACTGTTAACCATGTGGCAGACACTATTTGAAGCCCTTTATGTGTAATAATTTACTGGGACAGTGTGGTTTTTGTGTGGGGTAGGTACTGTTAGGATCCCACTTTGAGGGGGATGAGTGATTTGCTGTGACACTAGGAAATGCTGGCATTGACACCTGAACCTGGATGGTTTGGCCTGAGAACCTGTGCACTTTTAAATTTACGAGTAGTGGGCCTCCCTGGTGCCCAAGGGGTTACGCACAGCACTGTGAAGCTATCCGCAGCCTCTGCAGCACGAGTTCGATCCCCGGCTGGCCAGGGAGCTTCCCACATGGCGCAGCAGACCTCTCCTGTCTCTCCCGCTGCTCCCCTCAGCAGTGTATTTCAGTAGATCCACTGTTCTGCTCCCCACTCTGTCTCTGGTGAATCCTCTCACCTCCCACACCTCTGGCCTGTACCCCAGTTCTTATATGCATAAATAAATAAATCTTTAAAAAAAATAAATTTACAAGTAGTAATGTTTACTCTCTTTGTAAACATCATAGTAAGAATATATTTCATCATGTAAACATCACCATATCCATCACCATGCCTGCAAACCCCAAACTCCTTTGTCCTGGTCCTTGGTGGCAACCTCTCCCTCCATCCCAACTACTGACAGTCCTGTTGGTTTTGGTGCCTGTAATTATAACTTTTCCAGGACATCATGGGAGTGGAATTCATATGTGTGAGGCCTTTTGAATCCAGTGCATTTATCTCCATGTTGTGCCTTTGAGGTCACCTGTGATTGAGCATGCATCCTAGGTGCTACCATTTTAGTGCTGAGTAGCTTTCAACTAGCAATGTGCCAGTTTTGTTTATCCGTTCACCATAAGACTGGTATTTGGACTATTCCCAGGTTTGGACTATTATCAATAAAGATGCTCTAAGTATTTGCATCAGGTTTTTATCTAAGCTTACATTTTCCTTTTTCTTGGGATTGCTGAGTCTTATGATGTGTGTTTAACTTCAGTGAAGCTGCCAATGTTTTCCCGCATGGCTTGCCGTCTTGCATTCTTGCCAGATCCCATGCCATAGCTCTAGCAGAGGCTGAGATCCCCTGGGAGGGTGGGCACCCCTCCAAGGCATACCCCATGCCTTGTTCCGGTGGACAGTTTCAGACCAAGTGGGGCTTCTGAGTCCCTTCCTTGAGACATGCAAAAGGGCTGCCAAGTTCGACTCTGGGGCCCCCTGGGAACTCCCCAAGGCTAGGGCTTGAGAATTCTGTGTTCTTTATAGCTACTCTTGGTTGCAGTTCCTTAAATAGTCGTTCAGAATGGCCTTAGTAAGTGTGGGCCCCACCTTATCCAGGATCGCCTCCACGGAGTTGGAGTGGGGAGGTGACAGCAGCCCCTAATAACGGGGGCCCAGAGGGAAGAGTCAGTGCCTGGGAAGTGCCAGCTTCCTGCAGTTTAGGTGCTTCCTCTCTCCTTCCTAGGACCCTATGCCTTCCCAAGGTGCTCCACGTGGCCCCCAGCCAACTCCTCCCCAGCTCCACTGGCCCCGCCTTTTTCCTTTTTCTCACTAATTGCTTTCTCTTAACAGACCTGGTAAGAGTTCTGCTGATGCCCCTCAGCATGCTGGGTACTCAGTGTGTTCTGTGCTTCTGTGCAGTTTTTGGTTGCTTCTAAATGCATGAGTCATCACATAGTGCTGTGATGATGACGTTCTCTCCATCTCCTACTATTACTTCTGACTATCTGCTATCCTGGGACTTTCTGATTCCCCTTGTTTCACCTGGGACCCCAGGAAGACTCACAAATTATTTTTCTGTGAAAAAGAGCACAAACGTTTGAGGACAGGGTTCTCCCGGGTGCTTCTGCCTAGCCTCAATTTGCCCACCCTCTGCTCTAAGCACTGCCTCTGGGGTCTTGCTTTCTCAGATTTGAATCCTGTGATATTGACTGGGCTCCTTCATTTAGTCCTTCGCTCATTGCTGGTCCCTCGCCCAGTGTTGTTTTCTCCACCACAACTCACCGTGGACAGAGTATGAGAATGGTGGCAGCTAGTCTCTGTGCTGATCTGGTGGCAGGGAGGTGCCCGGGGCTGAGTTGCAGGCCGAGCACATGGAGAGTGTTCACACTCTTCCTGGTTCTGCTCTGTCCGTCTCCGCCAGCTTTCTCCTGCCCGCCGTCCTCTGGCAGGACTCGGCGTTTTTTAGCGCCTTCTGGTCTTTGCTGTGTAAATATTTCCATTCCAGTCTCCTTGTTCCCTGCAGACTGGGAGTCAGCAGCCTGATGAATCACCATGAGCCTCACACAGGACTGGGCCCTGTGCCATCGAGCCCTGGCCAATGTGATGGTGGTGTAGTGTGTAGGGCCTGAGGTTGTGTGGCTGCCAGGCATGGGGGGACAGCCTGGGTCTGGGTGGGGAAGGCAATGGGCAGTGTCATTGGCCTCTGCCTGTCCACACTGTCTTGCTTAGAGTCAGACCCCTTCTTTTCTGCCTGGTGGCCTGAAACAGATTCTTGGGCCTGTTCTGAACATCTTGAATGGGTATTGGGAAAATAACCTCATTGAAGGATAAGCACAAAGAGGCTCCCCATTTTTGCTCTATTTGAGTCTTTTAGAGTAGGCGTGCCTTCTCTCTCCTAGACACAGCATGTGCTCGCTTACACACATGTACTCACACACTTAGACATGTGTGCTTCCAGGAGCACAGCTTAGCCTGGTCTGACTACTTCGGAGCAGCCCGTCTTCACAGAGTGGATGGGACTGCTGTCGACTCCATCTGGCCAAAGGCTCCTGCCTTGCTGGCATCCCCCATAGCTTGCTTCCCTGGGAGGTGAGGAGACTCTGGCATTACTGTGCAAGGGCATACATAGCCTTCTGTGGGGACCTCTGTGTGCATATTCCATCCTCCTGTAACATGGACACGATTCCCAGACTCCCTGTTATAGAGACACAACATCATGTCAACCACATGTTTACTGAGTCCTTGAAGTGCCTGGCCCTGCTCTCTGGGTTGACACTGTCTGTTGAATGGGCTGTCAGGCAGAGGGCATGTGTAGTGGACACCCATGCTGGCTAGTTGTACTATGGTGAGGAAGACCGTGCTCCTTGGGAACATTGGGGCATCTCAGCGAAAAGAGTGTTAAGATAGCCTTGTCAAATTTGAGATTAGGTAGGGGATAGGAAGGGGACCTGAGAAAGTGGGGTTCGATGCTGTCAGAGCAGCTCATCCGTAAATTCACCTGTGGGAGGGTAAGTGGAAGGGGCCAAAGGGAGGGCAGGAGGGCTAGTGGAAGGGGGTGACTGATATAGTGGGTAGCCAGCCATGTGGGAAGTAAGGGAGGGCTAAGTGGGAGCAGCAGTAGCTGATCAGAAACCACCTGACCACAAAAATCAGCTGTCAGGGCCAAGTTAGGTCCAAGCCCTTCCATCTTGCTCCCTTACATAGCTATGGCCTCCTCGTGGTCAGGGGAAGCTATGTGCACCAGCTGGGCCCCCAGTGTCCAGGTTGCTGGCATGAGAAACTCAGCACCTCCCAGTGAAGGCAGGCTCAGAATCGTGTCCTCTTATAGGTCATGTGGTCCTGAGAACATTTGCTATGCTGTTCAGAATATCTTTTCCTCCCATGACACCTTCGGACTCCTGCCTGGCTCTCTACTGCTCTGACCCCCATCCTGGAAGTAGCTGACTCAGCCTCACTGTGTGTCAGTCTTTCACTCGGCCAGGTCTCACTGAACCATACTTAGGCAGGGCAGAGGACCGGCCTGCTCCAGGAAGGGTGTGTGCAGGGTCCACTGGGGACCATTCAGGGCAGCCAATGTGAAGCCCCACCAGGCCTGGGGTTTAATTGCAGGCCCACACATGGTGAGTGGCCAGCAGGTCCAGCCCCTTCTCCAGAGGATTGAAGGTCTGACTCCCACATTTCCCTTGGCAGGACTTCCTGCCAGACCCTTCATAGTCACTATCCATGTCCCAGTGGTAAGTGGGGAGGTAGGGGGAGGAAGGGCAGGTATGCACCCTAGCATGTCATCCTTGGGTCTGCTGCACAGAGGCTTCATTAGACTAGGGAGGCATTCACTTGGCTGTCTCCTGCTGACCAGAGGATTCAGGAGGTCACGGGGCCTTTCCTGCCAGCTCACCACTGCACGCCACACTGGGCTACACCAAGCATTACCTGAACACAGATTTGCCTGTACAGATGGCTGGTGGGACCCTGCATGGTTTGAAAACTGCCACCCCCTTGTTCCCACTTCCTTCCCAGACCCCCCCTAGCCCCCGTCCTCTGGGTGGAAAAAGGATGAGTCTGCACCCCCGCCCCCATCTGCTGTGGTCCTGGAAAGAACCCTTCGTGTTCAGGTTTTGTGCCCATGAAAATATCCACATTCCAGATGTGCCTACTATAAGACATCCATTGTTTCTACTGGACCGAAACCTTTCCGTGTTTGCGCTAGGACGAAAACCCAGCAGCAGTAATTCATCTGCAACTCAGTCAACACTGGCTGTGTTTCCTGACATTGACAAACTCCCCCGCTCCATCTTCAGGAGACAGAATTCCACTCCTATTCATCTTTTCTTAAAGAGGAAGACCTGAACCATCAGCCCAGTCATTTCAGTGAAAACACTAGAAAAATACATTTCATTTTTCGTTGGAGCCAACCCATAGTATAAACAAACTTTAGAATTCAAAGAGAAACTTCCCTCAGCTGTTAGACCGTTCCTGCTTCCCTGTTAGCTTTCAGCGCCTTGAGCCAGAGTGTCAGAGGGCAGACAGGGCCCACGGGGAAGGCAGGAGGATATGGGTAGCACTCACCAGTGGAGGCCCACGCTGAGGGTCTCAGGTCTCACCTGGAGGGCCGGCCTGCCGTGGAGCTGCTGTTTCTTGTTCCTCTCTTACCCTCTCTTTTAGCTGCTCTGTGAAGACTGAAAAGAAGCAAGCACGGAAACTTACAGTTCTGTATAGGAAATAAGAACTTGGTCTTAAGTCATTCAAACCACAAACACTGCATTTTAAACAGTGTATGGTTTAGTCATGTGACCCAGAAAAATTGAAGTGGACCTCGAAAAGAAGTAACTCAGGCTTGCAGACAGAAGTCGTTTCTGTGCTGCCCAGTGTCTGAGGGCACCCAGCCACTTTCCTGTGGATCCCACACACTGGCCCCTTTACAAAACAGCCCCTCCCAGAAAGCAGGCAATGTCTGCAACTTAAAATAGGACTTGAGCCCCACCCGTAAGACAGGAAAAAGTGCTGTTGACCTGTCTAAGCAAAAGAAAGTCCCCTGAGCCGTCCCACAGAGATTGTGGTGCCCCAGATCAGGCGTTGCTGCGCTCTGGTCCTGACGATGGGCTGGATGCCAGGTAGAGGGAGTCCTGGACGCAGAGCCGGTGGTTTCTCTCTCCCCTCACTCCGTGGACCTGTGCCTGGAATGTCACTTGCGTCCAGCGGCGTGGAGAATGGGTCCCCCGGTCGAGGCTGGCAGTGTCTGACACCCGTGCTGAGCGGGCAGGGGCACAGGCATAGAAGAGTTTTGGAGGGAGTGGCCGAGGACAGGTCAGCAAAGTCCTGAGTTGGGAGGGCTGGGAAGTTACTGAAGGAGACGCCTGCCAAAGCAGGGAAAGAAAGTGGAAGTCATTTCCTTGGGCTGGCCTCGTTGGAAGCTTTACAGGGGAAACCAGGAGGAAGTTTGCGCACCATTCCATAGGGGCCGGTCTCCCGTGGACACGGGACCACTGGAGGCACACAGCACTGGTGGGGGCTGGGAGGAGACCAGACTCTCCTGTTGCGAGACTCCTATGGCCACCCCTCAGCCTCAGAGCCTTGTTCCCAGGGAGCCGTGAGTCGTGGACCCTGACCGCAAACTCAGCCAGTATGGGAGGTACAGCCCTGCCGGCCACCGTGGAGCCCTGAGCTACCGTGGATCCCACTGGGAGAATCAGCTTGGATGGTCCCCAGAGGTTCACAGGCCCCTGCTGGCCCCTGAGTGAGCTGGAACAGGAGAGGCATGCGAGGCCCTGGTGAGCTCCCTGGGTTCCATGTCAGAAGATGTGGTCCTGGCCTTGCCTCCCACTTTCAGACTGGTGCAGGCTGCTCTCCCTTCTGCTGGGGCAGGTTGCTGAAATGATAAGAGTACCAGGCTCCATCAGCAGTGGGGCACTCTGGTGGCCACATAGTGGGACCGTGGCACTACTGGGGTGGGAAAGGACCCCCCCCCCCAGGGATGGAGATGCAACAGAGGGTTCACCCTCATAGACAGCCACCTTAAAGGGCACCGAGGCTCTGCTTTGGTACCATGGGACATTGTTCAGAGACATTTCCAAATGTCTGCAAGAGCAACAGTCCCAACTGGTCTGCCCTCCTGCCCTGACTGCTGGTCTTCTGGATCCCTTCAGCCACCTCTGTGGGAGACTTGCTGTGTGACGGGGCTCCTTCTCAGCATCCCGGAAGGAACTGAAAAGACATTCCCTGAGCACTGGCTGCTGTCACGTCTTGGGTTCACCAGCTTAGACTGCAAATGTTGGCTACCAAACCAGCTGGTCAGAACTAGACACAGGCCTGCCTCTGATCTCATGAGCCCCTGGTCTGTCCCCGTGGTCATGTAGCCCTGCCACCGTGACTGCAGCTTAGCTGGTATGTGTACAGGAACAAAGTACTAGACAGACAGCTGCTGGAAGAACCTTCAACTTGTATCTCCTGAATGTCTCATCTTCTCACGAAGGGGACGGGACGAGGGGTCAGGCTTCAGAATAGTGCAGCATTGGGCTAGTCATCCAGCCTCCCAGGGCTTCTGTTTCCCCCATTGCAGCAGCAATACCAGTGTTCATAGTGGTTGGGATTAAATGAACTGACGTAGCTATGAGTGCGGATACCAGGAGGCTTCCCACTAGGCATGTGAACACAGTCACAAAGAAGATCTAAGGTCTGGCCTCTTTAGCCCAGCTCCTGAGGCTGGCCTGGCCTGGCCTTCTCTCCCACCATCCATCCATCCACCATTCCAACATCCCCACCCCTCAGCATCTCCCGAGGTGTCCTGAGAACTCCTGCCACCTTCCGTCACATCCTGGCTTTCTACACTTACTTAGTGTTCATGTCTTCCATCTCCGCAATCTGACTGATTCCCCACTTGGATGTCTGCGCCCCGAGGCCACCTGTTCTGAATCAGGGGCAGGGTACAAGACCAGGGTCCCAGCAGTAGCATCACTGCTGGAGGAAGAGTTAGGTGGCAGGCCGGTAGAAAACTCTTTGTGCAAGGAGCACATGTGTGCACATGAGGGTGTGTACAGAGGTCTTGACATCACTGTCTCCCTCCCGCTTCAGAGCCAGGCTGCCGCAGGTGCTATCTCCCCCATGGGACGTCACCAAGACTGGTTGCCCCTCTGCATGTTCTCATGCCCCCTTGATGTTTGCTGGGGTCCTGTGCTGGGGAGGTAGCTGACAGTGACTCCTCCAGTGACTCCTCCTGTTCTTGGTCTCCAGGGTACTGTTGAGTGTTCTTGTGCTCAAGCTCTGGGCAGTCAGTCTTGATATTCTCTGTAGCAACTGCATCTACCCTTGGCTTTGTCCAGGGGTACCAGCTTATGGATAGCCGCTGGACTGGACCATCTCCCAAAAGGGCCCCTTTCCACATAAAAACTTTGCACCCCATGGTCAAATCTGCATTATTCACAATGGCCACAAAGTAGAAACCACCCAAATGCCCATCATTGGAGAAATGGATAAATAAGATGTACACCTGCACAATGGAACAGCAATCTGCCATAGCCAGGGAGGAAGCCCTGACACGCTGCAGCGTGGGTGAGCCTTGCAAACATGACGCTTGGTGGCAAAAACCATCACAAAGTACACATGTGTGATCCCACTTATGTGACATGTCCAGAAGAGGCAAATCCATAGGGACAGAAATAGATTAGTGGGTGCTGCTGGCTGGCAGCAGTCATGTGTGTGCCATTTCCTATAATACCACTAGTGACCCCCTGTCTTCTGTCACTTATAAGATACCTTTACATATTTAAGAACAACTTCATTTGAGGTATGCTTTACATTCCATATAATTCACTTGTTTTAAAAATGCAGTTCAGGGGCCTCTCTGGTGGTGGAAGGGGTTAAGTCTCAGCACTGTGAAGCTATCCACAGCTACTGCAGGCACAAGTTTCATCTCCAGCCAGGGAGCTACCCACATGGTGCAGCAGACCTTTCCTGTTCGCCCGCTGCTCCCCTCGGCAGTGTATTTCAGTAGATCCACCTGTTCTGCTCCCCACTCTGTCTCTGGTGAATCTTCTCACTCCTGCATCTCTGGCCTGTACCCCAGCTCTTGTATGCATAAATAAATAAATCTTTAAAAAACAATAATAATAAAATAAAAATAAAAATACAGTTCAGTGATTGCAGTAAATGTATGGACTTGTGCAGCCATCACTGCAGTATGCTTGAAGAGCATCTCAAAAGGATCCCCCTGCCCATTTGTCATAGATCCTTGTCCTCCACAACCCACTCCCCTGCCCCCCAGTGTCTGGAAGCCTCTGCTCCATTCTCAGTCTCTCTGTGGTTGTCTCAGCCCTCCTCTCTCTGTCAGTTCTCTGGCTGCTGTGCTGACATCATGCCCCAACCAACATCGCCACCCAAGGGTGCCACAGTGATTCCTGCAGTCAGTCAAATCGAAGTGCTCTGGTTCTAGGGCTGTCCTGACTTGTTGGGACACAGCTAACGTTGCTGGTGGTGGCGCAGGGTGGTAGAGAGGCTTCAATGTCTCCAACAATTTGTCATATGGCTTTGGTCAGCTTATCTGGAGCCAAGGAATGGTGGGCTTTAACAACTCTGTCATTGCTTTTTGGGAGAAGCTTTGCTGAGCTCCTCCCTCAGCTGTTCCAGGAGCTTTGCTCAACACCTTTGCATTTTTGACCCTCCCAAGGGTTCAGCAAGGTAGGGGGACAGGCCTCAGACAAACGGGAGTGAGATTGAGTACTAGGATGCCTTGCTTGTCAGCTTGTGTGGGCCCAGGGCTCAGTTCCTGGGTCCCTTGGTCCAACAGGCTTCCCTTTCCACAACACAAATGCCTCTGCTGCCAAAAGGACACCCCTGCTCCATGTGCATTTTCTGTTTAAAACAGGAAAGATGTCTGGTATGCCTGCTTCTTCTCTGCACTGCGACAGGCCTGGTCAGGAGGGAGCCCTGGGGTTTCTGTCACCACTCGGCATCAAGCATCTGTTGACCTTCCTTGGCCTGCTGCTGTTTAATCACAAGAGGCAGAAAGATTAAGCTGATTATGGACTTATTAATCTTGGTTCCTGCCCAGGCCACTACTTTGGTGTTTTGCTCTGTGGGTGATGTGGGAAAGAGGTGTTGACAGGACCGTGCCTGAGGGCACTCCTACTTACAGGGGATCAAATAAGTCCCCAATAGGAGGTCTTCCGGGTTCCTGCAGTGCTCCTGGCTGCCTCCTGATTTATCTCAGTAGTCTCCTGGCCTCCCATTCCAGTGGGATCTTAGAACACATGGACTCTTGGGAACATGCCATGGCCTTCAGTTGCCTCCTTCCTCAGTGATGGGGCCTGGTTGGACGCTAGAGGGAGTTTTGAGTTCATGGATAAATGATTTCCTGAGGAAAACACTTTAGGGTTTTTTTTCATGTCTCCAATCCCCATGTCTAATTCCCCCTCTTTCCTTTGTCTAAATACTAGTAGCCAAACTCCCCAAGCACTGTGGTTGCTGTGCTATGCGGTACTGCTCGCACAGCTCTTTCTGTGCAGCCCCATCTGGTGGCTCCACTGTGGTTACCCCTTTTTTTTCAGGCCACACAGAGTCATATCTGTTGCAGAAGAGTTTCTTGATCAGGTTCCTGTTTTGGGATTCAGGAGGGCATGAAAGAATTGGTAACCGCAGACCTTGCATCTGTGCTGCCTCACAGGAAGGTGTCAGTGACCTGTCCTGGCAGTGTCAAGCCTAAGAATCACTGTGTGGCCACTTCTTGGCCCCTAGGTGTCACCCCCAGCCTCAGAAACCTCCCTGAGTCATGGTCATACCGTAGTGGCTTCAGTTTTTTATGAGAAACTGAGCTACACATCCCTAATCTCTGAGGTTTTCTAAGGCCATCAGCTTCACCAGTGCCATGAATATTGTGACCACACAATTGAAAGTTAGATGGATATGTAGGCAAACATTAGCTGGCAGGTTGGCTTGACAGCTGGGAGAGTGTGGAAGGAAGCTTCCATAGGGCCCGGGCTCGTGTGGAGAGCCACTGGGGCCAAGAAGAAGGACTTGGAAAGCCCTGATGGCTTATTTCTTGGTTGTATCAACCTGCAATTTGCAAGGACAGAGGCTCACCAGACTGTGTTAGCAATGAGGGCTGTGGGACAGACACCTGTGGGGACACTTTGCCCAGATGCTAGGAATAGAGGCCCAGGCAGCAGGGATG